CCCCCCCTAGTCCCACCGTCACACTAAACGCAATCTTCTACGCCGGTGAGTTCATTCCCTGACTAACACAAATATACGGGGATCACGTCTGAAAATCAGAACATCACTCGACCCGAACAAATAAGGCTCAACTCTTAGAGTGAGAACGGGGACAAGGCTGTGTGTGTGTGTGCGTTATGAACGCGAGGAAATCAATGAGTACATGGTACACTGCTACTACTACCTGAGAGTAATCTGATCGAGAGGCGAAAATTCTCAGAAAAGAAGAGTATTGACGGGTCAGCCCAAAACTGAAAAGAGGGTTGGGAACAGGCCAGTCATACATGCCCGTGTACGCTCGCGCGTCTAAGCTTGTACTTGTGACACTGTATCTCGAAGCCCGCCTGTTTGTGTCTGCCTAAATGTTCGGCTTAGTGGGAATACTCTAATTTGCAGCGTATGCTCACGTGATGCACACATTTACCTCAGCTCTGTGAGAATCGATCACGGATTGCATTAGAGCAATCTGTCAACCGAGTCGTTTATTGGGTGGGTGATTAAGGGACCAGGGGATGACGGTTACAAGATGAGTGGGTCGCACGGAGTTTAGAAACACGGACCATCTGGTTCATACATATAATAATCCAATTCCCTCGTTTAGAATATATGACAAATCAAAACTTTGCGTGTTTGTGTTGCAGTTGCGTTTTACATTCATTCACTCGAACAGCATAACGAATATATAAGAACTGCATAAGTGCTGTCGTCCTCCAGTTCCCCAACACACTGTTTTTGCATGGCCTCGCTTTCAACCAACACCGGTGCGAGCAGAACAAGGTGGATTATTCCATGTTCCTTTGTTTATTTTATGCATTGTTATTTGAGAGTCAGTCCTGGTAACGGGACAGTCATTGACACCATGGCACAAGTACATTGGCAGCCCTAATTGCTTTGAGTATTCAAGCCTCGTGGATGACACAATTAAACTAAATGTCACGAAAACTCATCGTGTTCCGCTCTTCTTGTTCCTGCCTAAAAATTTGAACATAAACAGTCCCAAAATGTTTGCTTAACCTAGCTGTCTTTTGAAGCAAAAATCTAATTTTCTCTAAATACAAGCTGTACAAAGAAACAAACTGTTTGGATTCATGGGAGGACATAAAAATATGGATCATACGATAGCAAATGAGCTCCTCAAATACATTCAGCACATGGTTTGGAAGTTAATAAGTAGTATCGGGGCCAAAAGTACCTTAAGTTCATCTCATAGGTAATTATTTCACTGACCACAAAAGTACCTTACATTAATTTATCTTTGTATGCAGCACATAGCAACCAATGCCCATACCGGTGTCTACACAATCCAGTTTATTCCCAAATCACATAGAAAACGTTATTTTTCCGGTTTCGGCCCACTCCGTGAACCAGTAGACCTATCGTTATCGATGATGTGATGGAGTCAGGGTAGTACCATAGATCTGTTTGCTCGACCTTTTCAAACCCGTCCATGGCGTCACTTACTGATTATTGTTCGGTAGTATCGTGTTTTCAAAAGCAGTTGATCGATGGGATAACAGGAATCAATACAGATACGACACTGGCACTGACATCTGTTGCTCGTTCTTTCAAAAGTTCAGTTGATATGAGGGAGGTGGATGACGTGGTTGGTTTTGGAAGAGGTGAGTGAATGAGATTTTATCAACGAAGGTTACGTCACCAGATTTTAAGTGGCACACCATGGTAAGAACAGTGTTCCTGCAAACTGCTTCTGGGCGCATAGGAGTGAGGGTTTAGCGTGGGGTGATAATTGTCTTGTCTATCGACAAAATCCGGGGTTTGACCAGTATGCATACACTTCTCTTAATCTTATAAATGTCTGAATAGGTCAGGTCCCGAAATACTTGAACAACCGAAGAGACTTATCCATACGCAACAATTCCGCCGAGGCTACTGGTCTTGTCACAATTCAAACAATTGTGAATTGTGCTATATTTCGCCAATCGGTGTCACACTAAAAACGAGCTTCTTAGCTTACGTATGTTCTCATTACCACTGAACCGGGAATGTTTGCCTTTTTATGAGTATTTCTGACCGCTTTTGTATATAACACAGTTCTGACGGACGATAAAATGGTATGACATGATAAACGACAAACATTCTCCCTTCGCATCTTTCTTAAAACTTCCTCGGATTCAGACCCCAAAAAGAGTGTTTTATTCCCACCTGATCCCGAATTGGCATTCACGATAACTTCAAAATACTCTCCTTTTTGACTCTTAATAGTTTCATTCACTTTAGCCAGAAAATTAGAAAAAGCAATCATCCAACCGACTAAACGAGGAACATGTTTGCTTCCGTAGTTAACCGACAAAAACGAGATGCATTGTTCGCATTCAGCTAACCTGTAATATTCAATTGTAAAATGCTGACATAAGGGTTGTGTGGATCCACCGTTTTGCTCAAATGATGTCTTGGATCCATATCCGGCATGACCACTTCCACACCACGGTCCACTTCATCGGCGCCCACGGCCGGTTCACCGTAACCGACTGGTGTTCCGTAGAGCGAACTCTCGGTGATTGTTGGACCACTCTGGAACATCAGTGCGGACGGTGCCGTGGTAGCCATGCCCAACAGATTGGAGACCTCAAAAGAGTCATCCTGTTCGGGTTTCTCGCGGGCACTACCCAAAGATTTGATCAAACGTGGCACATTCGGGCCACGGAGAAAATGAATGCGTAATCCCTGCGGATTGTCCAAACCACCGTACGCTTCACATGTCAAGGTGGCGTTCTCGCCAGGATAACCGGTCGCATGTAGTTGTGTGCCGTATTTGATAATTCGTGGATTCATAATGACATCAGGCAGGATGCTAGGAAATGACAAAAGGTGTGCTCGATGAAACATGGTAGCGGCTGTGATATACACATTTGAACTTCAGAAGCACAATGCGGTTGCATTTTTGCATACAATGAGATTAAGAAGAATGTGAGGGTAGTAAATTTGGACTAATCCATTCGATTGTCCTAGCTTTTCGTCGGTCATCACAAATCTTTCAAGCTCGGATGAAGAATAAACTTTACACGTATTTCACCACTGTCCTACGTGAATAATAAACCTATTATCTAACGACTTAATCCACTTCATTGGATAACTGCATCTTTATTCGTTCGATTAGTTATAAAAGTAACTGTTTCTTGTTCATCAAAGCCGATCATGAATACCCATAGTCTGGTTCAATTTCGTTCTAGTATAATCCCATGGAAAATCAGCACTCCCTTAAAGCGAAACATTCACAGGTTCTTCGGCATACCTCTGTCTATCCTCAATACTTGATGCTTGACTGGTTTGCTTAGTTTACCCAGCATATTCAGGCCAATCAATGAATAAGGATGTGCATTGTACTTACCCACTCTTTCCTCTCAACTGAACTGACTATTGAAAAACTATATTTATGCATTTTGAACTTGTTTCTACTCTACATAGCTTCTTACATTCCCGCTGCACAGTGTGCTAGAATCCTGATGGAATGATAAGCTTTGACTCGAAGACACTGTCTGTTTGATCACGTTGTTTCATTGTTGCAGTTGGCAAAAACACTGGTTCTTGGTTCTCTTGTAGGTTAGATCCTGACCAAGATAGTAGATTTATCAATGATTAAAACCAATTAAAGCGTTGATCCGACTCATCCAAACAATAAAACATGTGTAATCGCTTTTGTAACTTCATGCACCACTCTCTGGGGATGAAACAGCTCAGCATTTTTTTCATGGCAGATTTTCGTCTCTGGGATAATTCGAATTAATGATTATTCCTTGATTTGATTTGCCTAAATAGAACTGATCAATAACGCAATTTAAATTGCCACAAAGATCGAAAGGTTTAAAACGGTGGGCCCGTATCGTCAAGCCATTTGACGCACTTCGTACAGCTGCAGTGTTTCCGTATAAAATGCGAAATTCCTATGAGAAAAAATCTCAAATGTACCAAAATCGGAACAGTTGCATTTGCNTTGCAAATCCTGAAATGAATCAGAGAGTGATACCACAAAAGTAAATGCATACTGTTCCGTATCTCCACTTGATAGGTGGATACATTGATAGGCCGAGGACAATAAACACCTCTCACAAATGACATTTTTCTATTGCACTTTTTCCCATCAAGCTTTAGGTAAAACCCGAAAATCTTGAGCCTCGGTAGTCGTACTTATGTCAAATGTTGCAGTGATACTAAACTGGTGATAACGCTGGGTGTGCTTTTGTGAAGTGTTTATTATACTTGACCTTATAATGTATTCCCATCTCAAGAACGGAGTTCATTATAAGTGGGGATACAGAATGGTTAGCATTTACTTTTTTATAGTATCATTATTTGGTTTATGTTGGGGCTTGTGAATACAAAACGATGTCCTGTTTATATTATTTTTGAGATTTCTAATCAGAGTAGTAGATTTCTTCTGCCATTCGATTCATTGGTGATCGGGCCATAAAAACACTCCACGATGGATAGCAATAATATTTGTTGTACCTTACCTACCGTGTTTTGCATCCGCAATAGGGAAGACGGTAAATCGGATGGACAGAAGAGGTCCTATCGTTTCACCAGCGCGGCGATCGACGGCGAGTAATTGAATGTGCACCCAAATGTGATGAGTTTAAGTAAGTTGCTAAACACCTAGGCATTAGGATGAAAACATATCGTGCTACTGCGATCGCGGATCTGAAAATAACACTCAAACGTGGATCTTACAAGGCAAAATTTACCGAGTTCACAAAACACCTAAGTGATGTTGTCAATGAAAACTCTACAACCACACTGAGGTAGTTAAAGGAAAGAATGCAGTAGGACTTCCCAGGCTGATCGATCAACAAGACTTCGTTTGATCGATTGCTAGATGAACGTCACTATTTGGTTAAGAAGCTGAACATCCAGCCCATGGAACGGGACTCGGAAATTGTCAAAGTAAAAGGAGCAGAATATGCCGATCGGTTAAAGCAATCGGGTTATGCAACAGTGAGGCTGTACATTGACGGGGCCAACTACAACATATTGTGCAGTCACAAAGTGGGCTTTACAGCCTTTAGAAGCCTCCCATCCAGCAAAAAACCCAACTTGAAAAACATAGATTGTTCATCTGTTGCCGGTATCATGAAAAACGAATATCTTAAAAAGATTATTTCACATGCTGATCCAGGATCACCCCTTATTGACCAACTGGGTGCTCCAGTTGTTTTTATCTGTGACAATATGCTTGTTCGGCGGAAAGCTTTGAATGCGCAGTTACCCGATGGAAGAGGCCTTTAGTAAATTCAAAAAAGTAAAAGACTTTGATTTTTCATTTCGCCTAATGTTTAGTACATGAAAAACTGGATCACTGAAAACACTGAATCCGTACAATATGTGCCAAAGGATTTTACGATATAGGCACATTGTTCAAACCCTCTATGATCAATATGTGGTGCGGCATTTGATACCATTCAGACGGTCAACTGAAAAGTATACGATCGTCAAACCTCCCCCTGTCTAAACCCGGCTTTGCGACATTAAAATTTGCAGAAAGGAAAATGTTTCACCATTCGCTGACCGCAGAATATTCCGTTACCTCTTGATCTTACTTTTCAACAACGGTCTGAATAAAGTTTGTGCTTTAAGGCTAAAGCACTACGGATCAGGGCTATAACATTGTGAGTTTTGACAACAGGAATGTGCCGAAAGGTTGAATGATTGTGGGTCGAAGCTAAAAGATTGCGGGTTTCGGATAAAGCTCAATAGGAAAAGGTACAATGATTCACCGAAGATATTCTATATTGTAGGTTCCTAAGTAGGAGGAACAGGTGTTTTGTGTCTATTTTAAGTAATGTAGAGAATTTGAAAACCAACACGCGCGTATTAAAATGCAGCTTGAAGTATTGTGAAATTTTAGCGGAAATTCCACTCGGGAATTCGTTGAATAATGAGGAAGGAACTCATCCTTGGCGGAGTTGCAAAGGGGTTTTCCACCGCCCGTCTATCTCGTGAGAAAATATCGCTGATTGCAAGTTGTGTGATTCAACAGTCGAGCAAAAAATTTAGAACACTGAACGGGAAATACAAATGAGAACCCGAAAAGTCACAATTCGTATACCTGCATGAGCCCTCGTGTGACAACAGTCATTTTATATGAGAGAGAAAGAAATGCATTGGTGAAAGAGAGAACTTTGGCATAAAATTTGAAATATACATTGAATTTGACTTTTTGCTTCGAAACATTTAGGTCACACAAGATCACTAACACAAGACCGACGTAAACATTGGTCAGGTATTGTAACGCTGCCTTCTGTTTGATAAATAGATTGGTGATAGATCGTCCAAGACTGATTGTTTTTAGATCGAACAAATGTCAGTTTGTGATGTATCTGTTAAAGGATTTGTATGTCCACGGAAAAGAGCTGGTCATCTATTTGGCATTGTTAGGAGCCATGAGCGCGCTCCAATCTGTTTTTGTGTCCCTAACAGACCAAGAATAGCAAAAACAAACATTTTTATTATCTTCACCATCAACGAACAATAACAGATTAGGTGTACCACGGATATTCATTTCCTTTTTTTAAGGATAACTAACTTTGTATCATTTTCACTTATCTTTCAATCAATGGCGAAAATCATTTCCTCTACATTGCAGCTTTTGGTGGAATCACACAAATAGACCAGAAGAGCTACTCAGCCCGTGTTTCGAACACATCAACAGTGCCTATTATTTGTGTCCCAGTGCGAACTACGAAGTGGGGGCATCAATCGTATACCTTCGCTTTTGGAGCCGCGCCAGCGATGGACAATATCTGGAGCTCGAAATTCAATGTTCACGATATTTTCATGCCTAATCACAAACATCGTAGGATGTGCATATTGTTTTTCTATGTGCGAGGCTCACTCCTCGATAATCCATAAACTCACAAATGAAACGTATCAAATATGCAGTAAATCAATGCACCAATCCCCAGTGAAGCCTATTCGAATAAGAGCATCGTTATTCAGACCCTGATGTCTGAACGTTCCTTTCATCAGCTTGAAATAATTGCATATCAGTAAAGTTTATAAACCCGGTTGGAAAACTGTTGACTGAGTTCTCATCTATCGGCCAAATTGAACTCCCAATTAGCAGTTGCACAATAATAATTTGTTTTCAACCGTTTTTTTAGGTAAGCCTTGCTTATATTTGTTTGTTCAGAACAATAAACGCGTCGGGAACCTCAAATGAAAGTGCACGGACTAAGATCTCAATCATTCAGCACATCCATGCAATCACACCCTCTGATTTACGTGTTCGTGAATGGCTTTGAAACAAAATTCCTCTGGCGTATTTGGTCTTACGCTGGCAGACGATTCAAAACCGATTTTGTGTGCTTTTGAACACCTACAAACAAAATCGGTAAGTGTAGATCATGCATTCTCATTGTCAGTTTGTACTTGAGAATCTTTGCCGTCTCAGCCGGGTAAACAAATTTCATTAACCTTTCAGTCATACTGATTATTAATTTTGCAAATTAGAGGTGTGACATAACTCTGAAACTCTATATACAACCCCTTCATAACTGCTTTGTTCACCAGTTTGACAGCCGGTACAACAGTATGCAGTGTTCATGTAACGGAATCAGACTGGTTAATAAGACATAACGGTTCGTATCTCAGTGGATTCGGTAGAAAAATCAAGTTTCAAAACTGCACAGAGCAGGTGTCAGATTTTACTTGATGGTACAAGATTTTCATTTTTATTAATTCCATACAATCCGGGGAAGGCTGAATATCTTTGATTTTCAGACTTAGTTTATGCCGAAACCCGGTATTCTTATGAGGACCCCAGGTCGCCGATTATCATACACAAACTGTAGGTTTCCGTGCCCATCGGGTTCCTCCCTTTTCTAGTGTTCAGCAGACATGCAATTACTTATGCAACAAACCGTTGTAAAATTGAATCCTTTACCAAAATCTCCACTTCCAGTCGCCTGATTGCATGTCACTTATTTTTTTTCACGCACACACCCGTTACCTATTTGTCTCATTCCAGTGTTTCTCATCATCGTATATTTGCTGTCAAGTGATGGAGAACGTGTGAAAGCAATGCCCATCTTCAACTGTTCCTCTAAGTTGGCTCTTCTTTTTCAGATGATGCAGTGCATGGGGGGAGTTGAGCATATGACAGACACCAGGCACTAAATAGTAAGCGACAATAGTATGTTACTTGTGCAGCACACACGCTGTATTGTTGTGCTACTTTACTTGGCGAGAGATAGAATATAGCATATGTTTTTGTAGAGACATATGCCAGATGAGTAAATGTTGAGGTGTTTTGAATTTCGCTGTCTGTTAGTGTAAACTGGATGCCAAAGGTTACATCTATTACCATTGTGAACACGGATTGGTCTATAACAAGTTGAAAAGTTGGAAATAAAAATCAGCCCTTGACTCTGACTGTTGCATAATTGAACGGAAAGCACTGCTTTCGTGACAGAATGATTAAAAACTAAATGTTTCACATTTTCACACTGCCAATGACAATGAATACAAGATACCGACTAAGGTGCTTGCAAACAGATTGACATATTTACTCAGAATAGTCGGCAGCCTCTTCATCGGCTAAAACCAGCAGAGTAGACAACATGAATTCTCCCAATAGGTGCCTAAACTTGGTATCTTGGGGTGGAAGAAACTCTAGTGCCCCTCTGAGAGTTAATCTATTGAATCCGTTCACGCTGAGAAAACAATGAATTATACGTTCGATAAAATCCAGTGCAGTTATTCGTAAATCTAGATTGACATTTGTATCACCGATTTGCATAGATCAAGATGATATCTAAGTAGCCTTCATTTCACGTGGTTTGGTAGTTTTACCATTTCCTCATGAGCACGACTTAACCATAGGACGCTTGTTTTCAATCAGCCCACGTACGATTTTGGTCACACGATTGAGATCGTCTTCATGTACTTGTTTTCTTATATTTACCCCCAGAAATCAATCGCTGGGGTAGTTGTCAAATAGGTCTTTCAGATCTCGTCCCCACTGGTTCAGACGCAAAAACTTAAAAGCACAATCTGACCCCCGTTGTAATCTACCTATTGAATACTGACCATGGTTTTTCCCTCTTACGTGAGATCCATGCTTTGATATATATTTCTCCTTTAGAGAACCGTATTTTTGAGTTTCGTTCGAAGTACATATTGAGAAGTTTGATTGGATTTCATCCTCATTGAGCACAGAGATGCACAATCATAATTATGAGGAGCAAAACAGAATTTCCCTTTGATTTCAGGTTGCAAGATTATTAATAAGTTGATTAGACATATTAGAGGATTTCGCACGGAAATCGCATCGGACAACAAAGTGACAAAACAGCGGCTCGTTTTCGACGCTTAATCAACAAAAGCCAAATAACTTACCATTATACAGGTTAAAGCGAAAAGGATTTGGAGAATGTAAACCACAAAATTCTATGATGAAGTGAGTTGACCTTCAAAATCACCATGGTAAATGACAGTCAAGCAATTTGACCTTTTGTATTCATTGTTTTCAGTGTACTTGCTTTGAAATAAGGTTACCTACTGGACGGCCATGATAACGGAAGAGCTCCTAGAAGTTGCTTCTGATTGCATAAAACGGGCTGTTCACTAGCAACGCGACCGCCTTCGCAATCGACTAAACTTCCCTCGATTTAACCCATTCCTGGTGTATATACATACATACAGTTGGAAATGGTTTAATCAGAATAACCAAATAAGTTGTCTTGGCTATATGTGTAATAATTACCGTTACTTCATTTATATTAAATCACATCCAGAGCTTGTTTCCAATGTAGACATAGATTCTACGTGGAAAATCCGATTTAAGAGCACTCACCTGCCAACGTCCGTATAATTTCCACTTCCACCGTACTGTCCCAAGTCAAGTAATGCAAGACATGTGTACCGAGTGGCATCTGATGGTTGCAAATGGTTGATTGTCAGTCTAGAAACCGTGATAACCGGATCGCCGGTATCATCCCTCCGAGTCCCGACAGACATTTCAAATCGACCTAGTTTGTGTGTGGTCATTTCACCAACCATTCCTTCAATCGGCAATTGACCGTTTTCATTCACCATTTGAGCACGCTCGTTAAGTGGATCTGCCTTGGCTATTGCAGGATACAATCGATTACTGTCTGCAATCAGAATTCCAAGTTGACGCTGTACATCAGCCAACGGCAAGTGTTGCAACGCTTCCTTGATACGCTGATCGAAAGTGACCGCCTTGGAATCAATCAACATGTTTGTTCCCATCCCTCCGCGATACCACAACAACTGAGGTGTTGGTTTCCCTCGAGCCTGACACTCCAATACTAATTGACCACCTTCTTGAGCAACCGGTTTCATTTGTCTAAAGAAGGTCCGACTGGCCTCAAAAGATTGATCGTACTTTGTCCTCCTCAATGGTTGCATGTAATAACGCTCTCCGGGAATCATTCCGCTCTTTGCCCAAGAGTCACGTTTGAATTGCTTTTGACGGTAGCCTGGCTCGTGTAACTTGGTCGGGTTCACTTCAGAAGGACTGCCGGGCAACATGCGGGGTGGCGAGAACACAATACCTCGGATAGCTTGAAGTTGGACAAGCATTGGAGCCTCAACTGCACCACTCTCGTACGAAGGTGGATCGAATGGACTGCGGTCAGGAGTCCAGGCCGGATTGAATGCTTCCGCCTTGCACAGATATGTTCCAGAATGTCGGCTTTCAGCTTTGCGTATGCTTAAAACCTGGAACATAGTTCGAACGAACGGATAACCAATTGAGGATGAAGACACATGAAATGAGAGCAAAACAAAGAGACTGCCGATAACAGTTCATTGAAATTATTAGATATATATTTGAACAACTTCGAATTTGTTCCTTTATTTTTCATTTGCAACAATTTAATTGCATTTTATTTTAAAAATTAAAAGGTAAACAAAACTGGCAGACAGATGCTAGTGCAATGACTTGTATGTCAATCAGACATTTGAAAGCCAATAGGAAAGGCCTCGTGAGAGATGTTGAACTATATGAATAGAGCAGTTCTCCGTGTGTTGTCTTACATTTATCAATTGAAGCTGTAGCCGTTTTCTGGATTACAAATACTGCACGTGTTTGCGTGCGTGCATCAGCGCGCGTGTGAGTGCGTGTGCGCCACCATGAGCATCAGTCAGTCAGTCACTCAGCAATTCGATACAGACTTACTAGTGCAAAAAATACTAAAATTTATTTATTCTATGTGAACGCTTGCCTAGATCTACGGGAATTGCATCATCACAGTAGAAACCAATGTTCTCACACTATTAACCAGGACACATTTTTCAGAATTCTTTGCGATCCATGGTGATTGATGGTAGAAAAAGGCAAAGGTTTTTTTCTCGATGAATTCAAATACAGTGCTGATCCATCATCCCCAACGCGGGTACTTTTTATATGGTAGACAATCATTGAATAGGTCAGTGCAGAAGACGCACAAACTGTGAGGACAACTCAATGAAGTTCGCTTGAATGTGACAGGCAGAAACTCACACATTAGTCCTTCCTCTTTTGTTCTAAACCCATCCATTATTTAATTCTGGGTTCGATATATGTACTCAATAAGAAATCTTTTGAAAATTCATTTTCCATTCTTTCATTCAGTGTCCGAGATTACACTTTTTGACAACAACAGCGTAGAGAGATTTTGAGTTCTGTGGGACTAATGAAATCTTCTTTTTGTACTTTTGATAATTCTGCCGCCAATTGTTCAATGCAATCGCATTTGTTAACTGCGAATGGGCCAGACGAGAAATGCCACAAAATTTCACCTGTTTTCGTTTATCTCTAATTGGATATCTATTGCACACCGCAATAACAATTCACATTTAACTGCATTTTGCACACCTCATATATCACGGATTTTTGAAAAATCTGTGGAGTGGAATTCTTGCTATTTGTAACTCTTTGTTGAGAACAGTGTATTGATTTGTGGACGTTATGTATATTGCAGCAAAGCGAATACGAGCGTATACGTGAAAAACCTCAATCATATGGAGAACACAGTTCAAATCTCTACGGACTGCGATAGAGGGAGACTTTTTGTACCATGTAGTTGACAAGGTGTCGCAGTTTGATTGGCTTCCGGGTTAGATGACTATGATTGTGTTCCAATTGGAAGGTTCACTGCTTAGCTGGGTGAATAATGCACATACACATCACTGGTTATAGGACCGAACAAAGCCCAAACGGTTGTCCAGGGTTGTTTAACAATTTCTTTCACGTACTCCGTACACGACAAATACGTTTTTTTATGTACGAAGAAATGAACATCGAGTGAGAAGTGATCTGATACACCAGCCGAGGTGACATCATCATGATGATGTCACATGGTGATGAAACGTTTGCAAACAAACTGCCAAGCTCGGCGAACAGGCGAAATGGAATTCAGTTTACCCGAGCTACGAGAACCGATTTTCAATATTTTGTCAACATCTATGCATTTCTTTTCCCAAGTGAACTACATAGCTACGGCCATTTGGGTAACGAGCAGAATACAATGCGAAGTGCACTGCGTTTTTCAGCTGGGTGGTGGTGGTGGTGACGGTCGTGGTCGTGGTAGTGAGATTAAAGCACGTCCTGGTGGGAATCCGTACCACCTAACCTGATTTATCATGATATAATACATGCTAGTAATTGTGTGTAGACCAATTAACTTCGATAAGTTCATTTTTCAAATATGCAACTTGATTTCTCTAAACAGTAATTAAATCAGTCAGAGGTGAGAAACAGCATAATCTATCACACTACCGTCATGGTGTATCTAACGGTCAGAATATCATCATATCATATATATACTTATATATGTATTATCATATCATCAATTTGACACTCCATTCGTTATGATTCCATACAGAACCAATCAGCAACAGCCAACACTGTTTTGTTACTGCGGTAGTAGTATTCATCCAACTGACCCCGGATGAGTGTATCAAGAGAACTGGAGTGGGCTCATCATCCACTGTTCTTCATCCCCTTGTTTTTGTTTTCTCCAAGTTGAGCATTCTATCATAGGCATCGATGAATAGAACAGACTGAGTATCTTTAACTTGCTAACTTCCAACTTTAACTTGCCCAATTCATGGTTCATATCTGGCAAAGAATCAATCAACCACAATTTGTTGTTCATGGTTCCAACGATCTTAAGCAAAAATAATATGAAATGAATTTCGCTCGGTGGAAGATTCAATATCTAGAGTTACAAGCTCAGCTTTTTCATGTTCCTTTTTTGACGTCGAATCTGGCTAATTATACCAGCTATAGCTAAGGTTGATGTTGAAACATCCCATGTCAATTTGTGGTAGAATATGGTGGGTGAATGGACTACTGAGAATCTACTTTGCTTTATGGTTTTATCATAGAATTTCGGTTTAGCAAACATTAGTTCTGGATGATATTTCATATATTCGCGTTATTCCGAGTGGTCCCTTGTTTCGAGGAACGATTCCCGAATGTGTTTGTCCAGATCAAGACTGGAACCAAACATTGCGCGTCTAAATGTTAGACTGATTTCTCGAGATTTGTGAAATAGTAGGAATGTTTTGTTTTGTAAACTGCACCATCATTACATTACTTCAACCGATCCACCGCTATTTCATGATATTGGTCCCGGGTGCCATTTCCGTATCAATCATATTATTTTGTTCCTCGTTACCTGAGAAAATTCTAAACGTTCCTGTAAGTGAATCCTGAGAGGAGATTAGAAACACGTGGTCGTTTTTAATGTGTCGCTTTTTGCAGAACATAATACGGTCCTGATAGCGCTAGCAGTATCACGATAACTGGATGCATTGTTTGCAAAACTTAACTTCCAGTCGAGTAACATTAAAAAGTGTCATACGTTCAGTAACACACGCAAGAGGAGAACAAGTTACGTGAGTCACTTATCTCCGTTTATCTGTGGTTGCTTAGACAAACAAATTTCACTACCTTAAGCGTCTCAAAGGGTCAGTGTCCAAAAACGGGATGAACGGTTACAATCAATGGTAAGTCATCGTTTATTTGGATAGTGTGTGTATATGTACCTTGAGAGATCAGAGGAGAAACGTTGCGTTGCCTCAAACTCCGAAAAGCGTGCGTATATGTGAGTAAAATAACTGATACAAATCCCTACACTAGTTAATTATTCATAACGAATAAAAAACCGGATTATATATGAAATAGGATAAAAAGTGAGAACTAGGCACGTTTCCGATACCTCATTGATCTTACATAAACAGTCACAGTGAGAAGTAGTGTAAGTGTGTGTGTGTGTGTGTGTGTGTGTGTGAAGAACACAGCATAAAACGGTGAGGTGAGGAGAAATCCAAGTCCAAATAAACCCGCAAGAAATGATACAGTTAATGTCCCTCAAATATTGGTTTTATGCTGCAATAAAAGCATTTTGTCTGTCTGTTTGTCCGTCTCTCTGTCTCCGTCCGTCTATATTCCTATCTGTTTGTCAAAATCTTCGTGATGTAAGTACACACTGATGCTGATTGTTTGATCTCATAGATTGAATGTAAAGTGCTTCAACCTAACAACCCTTCATGTATGAATTTGAATACCAGAAGATTCATTGAATGTTCACTGATAGTCACTCTATATCATTATTTTCACCCAAACCATTTTTGTCATACAATCAAATACCTCTCAACTACCTCTTACGTCAGCAGCTAAGACCAAGCAATAGCGCTTGTTTGTCGTGCGTGGCCTGAAGAACAAACCGTGAGGAACATTTGCTTACAATCAATCAAACGGATTAACGCAGTGCAACTGGACCCTTGGAATGACAGGGTGAAATATATTCTAAGTTGCAAAAAGAAAATAGCGACTAACAAAATCGAGAGCAGAATATGCTTTTCAGTGCGCAAAATAGTCACTATCCAGGATATGCTTCCTCATAAAATAGTTAACCGGATCACTTGTATAAAATACTCGCTCTTTTCTCTTTACATTCAAAATTATTTCTAAAAGCTTCTTACCGACGTTAGCGGAGAATACAAATGTACAACTTCTACGAAGAAGGTAGGAAGCAGCCATTAATGCCTGGCGTGAAGACACATTTAGAAGGGGACATTTAGGGGGCAGTGATGCGAATCGCACACACGTCATTCGGGGGCATAAGCTGACCTTTACTCCTAACGCGACAATTTGTTTCTCCCTTATGATTTAATCCCACTTGCTAGTAAAACGACAGCAAAACAGCTTTATCTGCGATACATTTTACCTCACCGCCTCCTTATTTAACCTTTTTCGAATAGCATACACATGTCACGCATAGGATGAAAATGCTTTTTCCAAGTACATTAGTGCGAGGAGACTCATTTTGTACATCGTCTGATAGTTAAGCAAAGTGAATACGTTACCATAAGCAATCAATCATTCAGTAAGTACAGCGCATGCCACGCAAACACACAGCTGTCGTCCGTACTTGATCTTCAACTCTACATTGGTTTTCAATTCGTTCGAGATCAAAAGACATACTTCTCCGCATTTTACTAAACAGTAAAAGTTTAAGGGAAGCACTTCTTGTAACGTTTTTCATAGCCGTACTATGTCTTCCTCATTTTTTCTAATCGTTTATTGACAATATTCGACTGAAAAGAGAACTGAACCTTCGAAAAAAGAGAATGCACTCAGGCATTGTGTGCCGGATTTTGCTTTCTACATAGTTTTTTTAATGTGTGTATTACCTTCTCTTCTTCCCATTGCAGGCAAACATTGCAAC